CACTCACCAACACATACCTGCGAGACGCAGCAGTGAAACCGCACGACACCCATTGGGCCAGAGAGCCGTATAAAAAAACCGAAAACAAAATAAAAAAAAAAGATTAGCTATACCCAAGTGATCCCCAACAACAGCGCAACGACGAATCCACCGGAAGCAGAAGGGAAAACCTCCAGACTAGAGTGGTAACACTAGGCCGTCGGTAATCTATATACCGCGATGTTAAGTCGACCTAGTAGGCCAAAATTGCATAGGTTACTACAGCGGTAAACAAGTCTCGTGTATTAGCCCTCACAACAGCCCACAGGATTGCACCTCCACCACCAAGCGAAACCGACGCACGCGGCCGCGCAAGATCAACCTGGCATAAACAAGACCAAAGACACTAATCGGGAAAGAAAAGGTGAGGGCTCGCAGGAGCCCTACCTTGTTGGTTATAACTCTCCAACACTTTCAATATGAATTAGTATATAAAAAAAGCTTACCAAATCTGTCAAAAGAATAACAGACTGGTGAGGCATCGATGTACAGCCTTCAAACAGCAACTGAAAAGTTTAGACACAGAAAATTCATAAACTTTAGTGCTTATTAATAAGTAAGTAACCCACCTCTAACCCACAAAAACAACTGTCTGAAGAATAGAATGTAAATCCAAACCAGTTGTTCACCAAAACTAAATCAATCGTCATCAGAAGCAAAATAAGTAGGTTTTAAATCTTTAATATGCCAAACACCCGACGACCTACCCTGACTATTCGTCAACTCATACGTCCAACCTCCTATTCTACGCTTAACCGTGAAGGGGCCTATAAATTTTGGACAAAGTTTGGCATTGAGGTTTTTCGAGGCGTCGGAGAGAATTTTATTTTTCCTCCAAACCTGATCTCCGACCTGATAGTGAACTGGTCTCCTACGCAAATTGTATATTTTACGGGATCGGTCCGCCATTCTAGCTATACGGGCTTTGACATCCTCAAAAAGTTTTCTATAACCTGTTACGCGTGCTTTCATCTCGGTCTGTACTTCAACTCGATCATCATTACCATTGTTAAGCATATAACGATACTCGGTACCATCTCCGACAAACTCTCGTCCAAAATTGACAAAGTATGGGGTATAACCTGTGGTTTCACTTCGAGAGGTTCTAATAGCGCATCCAATTGCAGCAAGATTTTTGTCCCATTCTTTGTGATTCTCTCCCAAATAGATGGAAACCATGGTTTTGACAATCTTGTTGTACCGCTCAACAGGGTCCGCCTGCGCGTGGTAATATGCGGTATACGAGATTTTCACATGATATCTGGAACACAAGGCTTTAATTTCCTTGCTTCTCATTTGTTTGCCATTGTCGCAAATGAGGAACTGAGGCACTCCATACACCAGAAATATTTGCTCTTCCACGAAACGCCAGAGGGCGCTTGAAGTAGCGCTCCGTAATGGACACAGAGCAACGAACTTGCTGAAGTAATCGCATACTGTAAGGAGGTAGGAGTAACCCTTCTTGCTTCTAGGATATGGTCCCATAAAGTCAAGGCTTATCATTTGCCATGGCCGGTTTATCTCAGGTCGTGTACCCATATGACCTGCTGAGGCCTTTTCCTCCGGCTTGTGTTGGGCACAAATGCGACAACTACGAACATACTTCCTTACATCTGCTCTCATCTTCGGCCAAAAATATTTATTATAAATTTTCCAATAAGTCTTATAAGTTCCAACATGACCGGAAACGGGCTCGTCATGATACTTCCTAAGGATTTTATTTCGGTGATCCTTGGGTACTACAATCTTCCAATAGTCAGACTGCGCAGTAAGTTCTGGAATCGGACACTTTACATATTTATATACAATATTATTCTCCACACGCCATTGAGGAAATTGCTCCGGTCGACTCTCAATATTACTTATCATCTTCCTATACCACGCATCAGTACTACTGCCAAAATCAAGGACTTGCTCAGGGCTCGTACTAACAACTTCCACGTTGATCGGGACACTTCTCGAAAGAAAATCCGGAACGACATTATCTTTCCTTTTTCGGTGTACGATGTCAAAATCATAGGGTTGCAAACGAAGAGCCCATCTGGCCAATCTTCCGGTTGAGTCTTTCAGATTATTAAGCCAAGTGAGTGAAGCATGGTCCGTGACAATAGTAAAATGGCTCCCTTCAAGATAATTGCGCAGTTTTTCGACAGCCCAAATGACACCTAAACACTCACGCTCAGTAGTGGAATAATTACGCTCCTGTTTTGTCAACGAACGTGACAAGAAGCAGATTACCTTTTCTCCGTCGCCCGATTCTTGGGTCAGAACAGCGCCAAGTCCATAAGCGGAAGCATCGGTCTGAAGGACAAAGGGTTTCGAGAAATCTGGACACGTTGATATAGCAGCTGAGGCAAGTGCATTTTTAATATGATTAAAGGCAGCCTCGCAATTGCTATCCCAGACGAAAGAGGCATTCTTGTGGGTCAATTTGGTTAACAGCGCGGTCAGGGTGGAAAAATCTGGCACAAATCTTCGGTAGCAACCAGCCATACCTAGAAATCTCCTAATCTCTGTAATATTCTTGGGCGGAGGAACCGTCATTATGGCTTCAACTTTTCTGACATCTACATGAAGACCTTTAGAGTCAACTACAAATCCTAAATAATTAAGGAAGGGCATACAAAACTTACACTTCCCAGGGCTTAATGTTAAACCTGCTTTCATTAGGCGATCAAATACCTTACCCAAAATGATTAAATGCGTTTCAAAGTCGGGAGAAATTATTATAATATCGTCCAGATACACCAAAACATACTGTTCTAAATCTGAGCCGAGGACGGCATCGATAAGTCTCTGCCAAGTTGCCGGTGCGTTAGTAAACCCGAACGGCATTCGCTTGAACTGAAAAAGTCCCCGTTGTGGTACTGTAAATGCGGTATACTCTCGACACTCCTTCTTCACTCCCACTTGCCAAAATACCGACTTAATGTCCATGGAACTTAAATATCTTGCTCAACGCAGCCTGTCCATATATATATATATATACGTGTGAGATTTTGGCGAAACGTCTGCAGGAATCCAGTCGGATGCAGGATTTGCAGGATTCCAGTTGGATGCAGGATTCCAGTCGGAGTTCAACGAGCGAACGGATGATATCCCGGAGTATAGTGTCATCACATATATATATATATATATATATATATATATATATATATATATATATATATATATATATATATATATATATATTCTCACGTATTGATTCACGGATGGAAAAATGTGATGACACTATATTCCGGGATATCATCCGTTCGCTCGTTGAACTCCGACTGGAATCCTGCATCCGACTGGAATCCTGCAAATCTTGCATCCGACTGGAATCCTGCAGACGTTTCGCCAAAATCTCACTTGGCATCTTCACGTATTGATTCACGAACACTCGAAGTGTTGATTGCCAAGTGAAATTTTGGCGAAACGTCGGATGCAGGATTCCAGTCGGAGTTCAACGAGCGAACGGATGATATCCCGGAATATAGTGTCATTTGTGTATTGATTCACGATATATATATATATATATATATATATATATATATATATATATATATATATATATATATATGATGACACTATACTCCGGGATATCATCCGTTCGCTCGTTGAACTCCGACTGGAATCCTGCAAATCCTGCATCCGACTGGAATCCTGCAGACGTTTAGCCAAAATCTCACTTGGCATCTTCAATGCTCGCGCTCCGAAAACACTTCGAACACTCGAGCGCGAGCATTGAAGATGCCAAGTGAGATTTTGGCTAAACGTCTGCAGGATTCCAGTCGGATGCAGGATTTGCAGGATTCCAGTCGGATGCAGGATTCCAGTCGGAGTTCAACGAGCGAACGGATGATATCCCGGAGTATAGTGTCATCACATTTTTCCATCCGTGAATCAATACGTGAGAATATATATATATATATATATATATATATATATATATATATATATATATATGAGATGACACTATATTCCGGGATATCATCCGTTCGCTCGTTGAACTCCGACTGGAATCCTGCAAAACTTGCAGGATTCCAGTCGGATGCAAGATTTGCAGGATTCCAGTCGGATGCAGGATTCCAGTCGGAGTTCAACGAGCGAACGGATGATATCCCGGAATATAGTGTCATCACATTTTTCCATCCGTGAATCAATACGTGAGAATATATATATATATATATATATATATATATATATATATATATATATATATATATATATATATATATATATATATATATATATATGTATATGTATTGGTGGTAAGCCGCGTGTTCATCCGTTATATATATATATATATATATATATATATATATATATATATATATATATATATATATATATATATATATATATATATATATATATATCCCATTGTGTCCTAGGAAACCTATACTGGACTACTCCAGGATGTCTACGTCATCATTATACATTTCATCTTTCCTTTCATTTCATTTCATTTCGTCCACTTTAACAAATTCCAATCATTTTTTTATGTTTTTTTTAAGAAATCCGCAACCCCAACAACTAAACCTTACTTTTCATGATAATAATTAATAATAATAACTGTCCAAAATCCGCCAATTAACTGGTTTATAAGTAAAATTCCGTTGATGGATAAGGATAAGGACATAGCTGCTTAACTACTTGTTAAAAGATAATTACTGATTATTTACATTCATCGTACTGATTACCGAGACCTTGCACCAGTTAGTAGGCAAGTGGCCCGAGGCTCAATGGCCTAACCGGAATATTGCTATACGGTGGCGATCATTGCACCGGATCTCCGTGTTGTGGTAGCCAGAGAGAATACTTCGGTTAGTGGCGTTTATTTGTAAACTTACTTAGACCTCGTATTCCGTTTCAAACAATCCTGGGGTAATCGATCAAAGGAAATAAGCTAAGAGTTGGCTACGGCGTTGTGGGTTAATCCGCTAGAAAATGCCCATGCTTTAATTGTAGCTTACTTAAACATACCATTTCACCAGAAATGGCCCAAGGCGTTTAACACATGGTATTTACCAGAGAAAAAGCAACCAATTTTTCTCTGTATACACAATCATTCTAAGCTTATAAAACATTTATTTAGGTAGTAAAGTGCTGACCGTTTTGAGAATTAAATTTTTGTTTAAATATGAGGTTTTGCTAGTAAATCCATCAAGGAAATGCTAGCATTTAGTAGTCTTGGACAGTCAAGGCGACATGAGCAACACCAATGTTGTCTGATTACTATTTTTCCGATTTAACCAAAAAAAAAACCTCCATGCAGGTTTTGCTTTGAAGATTTAAGCTGGACCTGGCAAGTAATAATAAACCAATTTGGTAAAGTCTTAATGTATGGCTTGTTTTTTTAGCTAGCATCAAAGAATTGGGTCTTGTATCTTGCGGATGAAGTCAAAGCAGCCAACTGTTCCAACGGAAATTTGAAGTAATTGAAAACAGGATGATATCTATTAGTTATTTATACCAAACTTATGGAAACCGGGTAATTTTGAAGAAAAAATGAGTTTCTGGAAAAATAAAACTTTCTGGTAATTTTAGCAGCAAGAAACTGTTGTTTAAGCTCTATGAATAGAGAACTTCCAGTTGCTGTTTTTCTGAAGTTTCTAATTAGTTACAAGGATGACATATTTTGGGTGTTATGTCAAATAATGGCACCACTATTTGATGCTGCTAATAGGGAATTTTAAAGTAAAACCAAAACTAACCAAGGCTTTGTGTTTAAGATCAGGACTTTGGCAAAGCATACCGCTTGTTTATCTGGCTGAGCTTTGGCTACTTGAAAATTGATAGAGCGCTTGAAAGATGAGGTGAAAGAGTATTGGTGTGTCAGCATGGAGAAGTTCTTTGTAGTTCCTACCAAGTTCGCCATGAAGAAATTGCAAGGTCATTTGAACAGATGGGTCATTTTTAAGTAAGTTTCTGTTAGTTTTTATCAGGCAAATGAAAATTTTTGTACCCCCAGAAAGAGCTTCGAAATTTGTATGTTATTCTGACATTTTGGAAAAAGAAAATCAAGAGAAATTAAGATAAAATAAAATTTTGTTTTTGATATTTTAAAATATCACAAAACTGCAAAAATGAATACATTTTTTGACAAACTTTTGTAGACTAATGAATAGACGAACTAACCAACACCAAATTTTTTGTAAGAAAAATTTCAATAACATTTAAGCATAATACAAATTTTTAATTACTTTATATAAGTTTTACTTTTGGCATATTATGGTTATTTTTTACAGTTGCGGTTCATACCATTCAGGTTGTCTTAAAAGTTTTATTTTTTACTTTATCACACGTTTGGATTCGGCCATTAAAATAAGTGTAAGGTTTTTCAAATAATTTGGGTTTTGTCAAAACAGAATCTAATTTAAACTTTTTAATTACATAAGGATTTAATATATGTTAGCGCAATTTATAGTAGTGTAACAATACGCCCTATTTTATATTTCAATTATAAAAAACTTGCTATCTCATAAAAGGGGGCCAAAAATATTTTTATCGCTTGATTAATTTAAATTAAACGCCATATTGTTTAACTTACTTTTCGCGTTTTCCCAGAATATGAGGAATTTTGATTTTCATTATTTAAATAAATGTTTTATAGTTGACTATGGTATTTAGAAATGAAAGATAATTTATTGTACTTTTGTATTTTTCAACAAGTATTTAATTAATTTTCAATTAACTTACAGCTACCCTATTATCCATTAATCACATTTAAATCCACAAAAAAACATAAAATATGCAATACAATACACAAGTAGATCAAGGTGTAATGGTTTAAAAATCATTATAATTTATCTTACTTTTACTTTTAATTTTGTTAATTTAGAAATTTTTATTTCTAATTTGAAAGTCTCTAAATCTATTTCTTTAATATTATTTGGAAGATTATTGAAGAATTTTAGAGTAAAATAGTTAATGCTAGACCTAGAGTTCTCAAATCTGAAAACTTCAGGGTTTATATCTTCATTAAAATGGGTAATATAATAGTGAAAGTCATTCTATTGTATAATTACCTAAGTGTTCTTTTGTATTTTTTAGTAATTAAGCCATCCAATCTGCATCAGCAAGGTATTTTTTATTTTCAATTTATTAAAATGTTCTTTACATCAACTTTACATGGTAACTCCTCTATTCTTCTTATTGCTCATCTTTGTGGTGCAAAGATTACATTTGCATCTGGAGATATCAATCAACACATTTTTTTACTCTGAGAATTGTTATGCTAAAGGTTTTCTTAACTAAATTTTTACAGCAGAATAGCGTTAAAAAGATACAACACTAAAAGAAGTATCTTAAAACTATTTATTCGCACATCATTTCTAATAAAAACCATTAAATGACATTCCATTTATTGACACATGAAAATTAAAATATATATATTAACAGAATAAAGTAACTAACTCAAACAAACTGTCTTTCTATATTTTCCAAAATTTCTGGAGTAGGCAGTACTTCAACAATGCAGTTTTTTTTAATGCATGATACATTAGTTCAACTTCAAATGGTAGCATTCTTTTTTCCATAATATAATTTGCTCAAGACATAATCACCAACAGAAATGTTTTTGCTATCTCAAAGAATATTTCATTATTTGATTTCAGAGATAATATCTACATCATCCGAATTGTCATCACTGTCTGTCCAGCTTTCTTCATATTCTGAACTCTGAGGAAAGTTTTGTTTCTGGAGCTTGTTACCCGAATTTTCAATTATTCTTCTACATTGTCATTCAGTATCACGTTTCAAGTTACAGACTGTACAATTTGATCATCAGTCAGTGTTTCTCTTGTTACGATATCACTATCAATGCTAACATAGTTGCTAAAACTAAAGTCACTAAATCTGGTTTTAACGTGTGGGTGTATTTGTTGTTTTTTCAACCACTGGTTGAGAGGAAGGTCTTTGTCTGAGTCATGCTTCAAGCAATTGCATATGAATGTAATTTACGGCGTTCAAGAGGTCTATAATCTAACATATTACACATTGGTCCATTGACTGAAGTTTCGAATTTGTTTTAGGTGGTTTAAACACAAATTCCATTTGTTCTAATTTCACATAGAGGTAATTCTTAAGAAGCAGTAAATTGTTCTTTGCTTTCATTTCTTCATCCTATTCATGTAACTCATCTGTAAGCAAGCTTAACTGTTTGCCCACACCAACAATTTCCTTTTTTCTGATCCAGGCATGTTTGCCGCCACCAGAACTGTAATCTTTTCTTTAGCTCCAGCACAATGTTCAGTGTTCAGAACAAGTTTCAGTGTTATATTGGTATCATTTTATAAAATAGGCCTGTTTCATCCGCATTAAAAATGTTTGTCGTAAATTTCTGATACACGTTCTATCCAACTCCTAGAATAGTTGAACTATGCTTTTCCAATCTTGGTTCACAATTCACTTGTATTTTCTTGTAAAACACTAGCCCGTATAGGAATGTTTCCTTCCTTTTTTGGGAGTAAACCAACTTAAGAAGTCCTTTTTCAACTTCTCGGCGCTTAGATTTTCCTGATTTCTCACATTTAAGGCTAATAAAACCTTTTACAAGCTTTAAATCCTCACTTTCCCACTTTGAATTTTTTTAATAATGTCATATTTCTACTTAAGTGTAAAAACTTTTGAGATATTGTTTCTCCATTTTATTCCGTGATTTACCGTTTACCGAATGCCAATAAAAACTCCGATTTTACGAGCATTACTTCTTACACTACGCACCGACACAGTAAAAGTACATCGAATAAAAGTTCATTTTAACTGGAAGTTCATACTTTTGTTTAGGTCTGAAAGAAAATACATAAGCTATTTACCTAACAGTGACATTGGTTAAATATATCCTTTCTACAAAAACTAAATATTGGCAACACCGCCACAATGCAAGCAAAAATTATGATAGAATCTGGTAAATAATTAAATAAGGAATCTTTTAAGGTTTCATTCATTCATTCAGTTCATTAGTTTCTGCATCTATTATAACTAAAGCACAGTTGGAATTAAAGTTATAAATAAACTACTAATTAAATCATTTTTGTTTGATTCTTTTTAGACAACCATTTTTTCTGTCATTCACGTGTTAAGTGATAAAGTCATGGAGTCGGCCATAAACCATTCACCCAAGTCTGATAATCCCCTTCCCATTGCTGTATCCAAAGTTTAGTTTTTTTTTGTATCCGCTTCTGTGGTATCACACCCACAGTTGTTTTTGATTTTTATTTGTCAATATCAATATCATTGATATATATTTAGAACAGTAAAAGTTGGAGCACTGAACTCTATGGGTCTCCTCGATTGGTCAAATTATAATTAAGGTGGAGTTTTAATTTAATTTATTTTATGATTAACTGGTATAATGTTTTGGAATTTCTTTTGTATGAACTTTGTGTTTTGTTAGAGGAATTCCCTTTAAACTTTAGAACAATGCCGTGGCTTAAGCTAGACAGAGCTCCGCCTCATCATCGCAATTTTTAAATGCCAATTTTGAAAACAGGTGGATTGGAAGTCATGACTTTCATAATTGGCCCTCGGGATCCCTGGACACCACTGAACTTTTTATGGCTGTGGCTTCCAGCCAACCACACCGGATATATGCGTATTATAGACGCGTTTGATACTGTAACCTCGCAAATGATGTCCAGTGTCAGCACTAATCAACATTCGAGAATTTATTATGTAAGTGAACGTTTTTCTGCCTTTTTAACTTATCTTCAGTTAGTTTCCATTAGTTAATTGTTGTTAGAGCCTGGATAATGAAAATAATATTTAAAAAAACCTATCCATAAAAATATTTACTAACATAGCCACTAGATGATGTAGACCATAAATAAGTACCAAAAATTTTCATAAATTTTACATATCACTAGAGAGTCAATCATCTATCAAAAACTTTTCAGACAATTTTTAAATTGAAACAAATGTTCACAGTTCCTTGAAATATTACTTCTGTTAAGTAGTTGTTCTTTTTTATTTTTATTCTTAGATTTTATCCAACTGTCAGCCCCTATGAACATAGATGAGTCATGTTATGCCCAAAAAATTCTTTAACGTGAAGACTTACATTCTCCCTCATTGATAGATTTATTATATTTTATTGTCATTAAAATTTGTAGGTAATTAGTTTTAATTTATATGCTTTTGGACATATTCTATTTCCATGTGAATGAAAAGATTTTTGTCTCTCGATTCCTTTAGCGTTGGTTGTTGATGGTTCGAAGTTGCTGAAGTCTCGTCCATCATATTGTTGGCTTCTTCAGCGCTTAATTGAAAAATTTGCAAGAAAATTTATAAATAGTAATACATTAATTTGTGGAATTTTCGGTGAATAATTAACAACCAAGATTCTTGATTAAGTTATTTTGCATGGCGTCAGAAGAATCTGCTGTGGTTGTTGGCAGATAAATTCGCAGGTTAAATTAGATTTCAAGTTTCAGGAAATTTAAAAAAAAATCTTTCTTCTTTTTGTATGTGGAGTATGTCGGGGTCACCGTCTCACTTCCTCAGTGGAATGCTCTCCGCCTGACGAAATATTGATCCAGCATTCGTCACTGCACACTAATGTCGGACGTTTCTGAGCCATGAATGTTGTTTTCTTCATGAAGGAGAAGGGTCGGGGTGGAGTAGCGAGCACCTCTCAGTATGTGGCCACGGTATGATAATGCTTTGTTTTGCACTTTTGTTTGTTTATTGCACGCGTTGGTTTTAATCATCTTTTAACTCTTCATACTAGAATTTGCACCAATAGCAGTACCAGGGAAAGTCATTAATGCAGTCATAAAATATTTAAAATTTTCATAAGATCCACTAAACAGGCATTACAGCAGAACCAGACCAAATTGAATAAATGCAATTAATTGTCCGCCAAATCTGAATACTTTCCTAACACTGTTCGATAGGTAATAAATTAAATTAAAAAAACATATTTTATTTTTATCAGATTAGAATATATTTTTGGCCATCTCATTGGAAGATTTTTTTCACAGCTGAATTATAAAATATGGTTATGTTTACAGTTGACTGTAGGTTTTGCTTACATACTTCTGTATTTGCGTAATTCAAATTAGGTTACATGTTGACAAAATTTAAATTTATTAAAGAAATTTTAAGGTTCAGTTATATGGCCACTTGTGATGAGTATGTAATAAGAAGATAGTAATATGAGACATATGCTTATTCTGCTGCTTTAATAATATAAATACGCGCTCTAATCGTAGGATAAGACAGTCTTAAAGTCGCTTTGCAGTAGTAATTATTGTGTTACTTGTGTTTTATTTTTAAATGCGAAATCCGTTGGAAGTAGTGTACCGGATCGCCCTTGCGAATCGATAGTGATTTGTGCGCTGGATTACCCTTTTATTGTCAGTGCCTTGGATCGACGGTACGACACGCTTCCGTTTCAATGGTTAAAGAAAGGATTACAGATCTACATGGCAGAGCACTTGGGACTCCTGGTACCATAGACTATCGGTACGCCGTTCGAGAGCCAGCAGGACGAATTGTTGTAACCCAGCGTCCACTACAACCAATACCTCACTTGGGAAGTGAATCTCACCGACGAACGTGTTGGTTGATACAGAAACGAAACTATGAACCTATTGTAAGTTTTTACTGAATTGTGTTCCTTACAGTTGTGATTCCTGTTAGTTAAGAAGCAAAAATTTTAAATTTGTTGGTGAAAATTTGATGAAAAAATTTAGAAATAGATTATCGGATATTACTTATGCTCGAAGAAATAATTCTACAAATAATCAACCGCGAGATATAGACGAACTTTACTCTAATATTTCTTTATTATATTGTATAGCCGAAAATAATTCTACTTTTGTAAATACTAGTCTAGAAACCGAAACTGTTAGTGCAATGGCCGACGCTTTGAGATCAACCGTTAGTTTGCTAAAAACCTTTGATGGTACCCCTTCTCGTTTGGATTATTTAATTAAATAAATCGACACTTTTCGTGCAAGGTATTTTAATAACGATGTATCGCAACAAGAATACGTTATTTTGGCAATTAAATCAAAAATACTAGGAACAGCAAAGATTTTTTATTAACTCGACCAGACCTTACAACTTGGGTCGAGATAAGATTAGAGTTGAGAACGTTACTTATAGTTCAAAATCCTCAAAATCTAGATAATGCTATTGACATTATTACAAGTTACGAAATTCTTACAAGTCAAAGTCAGTTTAGAAATAATTATTTACAAAATAATAACCTAATGCGGCACAATATATAGAAACCAATCATTCATATTTTGTCCAACACCCAAAGAGTATTTAACAGCCCACCAATTCAACTCTATAGTCAATCGAATTTACCTTTCAATCCCCTCATCAAATGTCACATCAAAATCAATTCTTCAAGCCACAAAATCAATTTTTCAAACCGCAGAATCAATTCTTTAAGCGACAAAACCAATTTTTCAGGCAACCCTTTCAGCAACTCCACACCTCTAATCAAAACAACACCCAGAACTCAAAAAATCAATAGCCCCAACCAATGTCAGGTGTAAGTATACAACCTAAAAAGCCATTTTCTCAAATAAGACCACAATACAATAATTTCCAAAAACAGCGACATTAACCCCGAAACTAACGAAACGCAAGCCGATTTAACCGACCTTAACGAATACGATTATTACTGTTATTACGACCCAAACTACGAAAATGTTGAACAGTTCAAAAAAGAAAATAGCATCGTTGATCAATTAGAAAATTTTCAGTCAGTAGACTCGGACCAAGCAAACCCTGTTTAACCCTAAATAGTTTTCAAATAAAACAGTTACCCTACGTCGAAGTCCCTAACCATCAAATCCGTTTACTTATCGATACAGGTTCCAATGCATCTCTTCTTAGACCCTCTTTAGCAGAAACTTAGTTTTCCGAATTAATTAAACCTTACGTAAATACCCTTCAAACATGTGCAGGTTCAAACAAAGCTACACATAAAGCAACTATCCCATTATTTACTTGCTTTGGTATCACCGAACCGATTGAATTTATTCTTTACCCATTTCATGAATATTTTGACGGTATTTTAGGAATTAAAGATCTTTGTAAACTAAATCTAAATATTGATTTAAAGAATACGAAGTTAAAAGCCATTATATAGAAATTCCCTTTCAATATAGAACAAATTTCGACGACTACGTAGTAGAAATTCCCCCACCCCAAAAACTATACAAAAAGCAACACTTAGGACTAATCTACCCAATAATAATAACCTAATAATACGACATGGATAATGCCCTACTATCGTGAAGATGAAATTGAAATACAAGCAACCCTTGTTACGATTACAAATAATTCCTATACTATCGATATATTTAATCATTCGAAGGTAGCGTTAATAATAACTTACTTTTAAAACCATTTGAACTTAACAACTTTGAAATATTTAATTTAGAAACACCAGTTCTGAATAGTCCAACGATAGAAAAAATGATATTGGAAATTTAATACCACACGATCATCTAAATTCGAAGGAGAAGGAACAGCCTTTTAAATTCATAAGAACATTCGGAGTTACTTTAACTTTTGCAAATGAAGTAAAACACACAATTAAAACTAGCGACGAAATTCCCGTACATGCGAAACAAGAAGTCAATAGACAAAAAGAAGAAATGTTACAGGAAGGAATAATTCAACCCTCAAGTTTCACTTGGAATTCACCAGTGTGGATTGTACCAAAGAAAGCAGACGCATCTGGACGTAGAAAATGAAGACTCGTCATAGACTACAGAAAATTGAATCAGAAGACTATAGACGATAAATACACAATACCTAATATCAATGATATACTGGATAAACTAGGACGATGCCAATATTTCACAACGTTGCACCTCGCCAGTGGATTCCACAAAATCGAAATGGATCCTGAAAGCATCCCGAAAACAGCATTTAACATAGAGCATGGACATTACAAATATACACGTATGCCATTTGGTCTTAAAAACGCACCCTCTACATTTCAGCGCGCAATGGACAATGTATTGCGTGGATTACAAGGAAAAATATGTCTCGTGTATATGATGACATCATTATATACTCGACCAGTCTTCAGGAACACATGGACTCATTAAAATTAGTCTTTGAACGACTTGCATCCTTCAATATGAAAATACAATTGGATAAATCTGAATTCCTAAAGAAAACAGTCTAATTCTTGGAGCCATTAAATATTTTAAAATTCCCAACACTCCTTAAGAAATTAAATCCTTCCTTGGTCTTGTCGGATATTACAGGAAATTCATAAAAAAAATTGCTAAAATTACTAAACCACTGACACATTGCTTAAAGAAAAACGTTAAAATAACCCAGGATAAAGCGTTTAATCTTTGTAAAAAAATCTTAACTAATGATCCTATACTCCAATATCCGGATTTCAATAAACCCTCCATCTTAACCACAGACGCAATCGGAGCAATTCTTTCACAAGGAAACATTGAAACTGATCTACCGATAGCATACGCTAGCCGAACACTTAATTCTGCAGAGCTTAACTACTCTACAATAGAAAAAGAAGTTCTTGCCATCATGTGGGCCACAAAGTACTTTCGACCTTATCAATTTGGTAGAAAATTCACTATAGTATCATAAACCTTTACAATGGCTCTTCTCCATTAAAGAACCTAATACAAATGAGTCAGGTGGAACTAAAACTTCAGGAATATGAATACACTATTCAATATAAAAAAGGCAAACAGAATGTCAACGCTGACGCCCTCTCACGACCATCAAAAGAAATACACCCCGTAGACCTAGTAAAACACCCACTAACACTTATGTCAGCTGTATGTGAAGAAGACGAGAAAAAAGATGACCAATATTTATGGCACGAAAAGATTAAACATTTCTTCGAATCACAGGAAAACCTGTTTGAAAAATCGCAAAAAGGTCTGAACGAGTTTGAAAAATTTGATCAAAATTGGAAACCAATCGAACACTCGGAGATAATTAAGGAAATTCAAGCAAATATTTTTGATCAACAAAATTATAAAATAGAACAAGACATTACTGTAGATTTTAAACAAAAATTTAACAACCTACAATATCTTACCGATAAACTCTAAACCAGGAGAAATAGCAACATTATTTGACAATAAAAATAATCGTTTTATTTATTATCTAGTCACTAAAGAAAAATCTAACCAAAAACCAACCTCCTATATGCTTTGGAAAACCTTAATTAATACGAAAAACCATGCAAGAGAGAATCATGTTACACGAATAGCAATCCCTAAACTAGGATGTGGACTAGACCAATTGGATTGGCTAAAGGCAAAATCAATGATTAATCACCTATTCCAAAATCAAAATATTCAAATATTCGTATGTCACTGTTCGAAAAAGAAACCCAAAATTAAGATAATTTCGGATATTCAAATAAGACCTCCAAATACAGTTAAAAAGACATTACAGCCCGAAAAACTAGAAGAACAAAATAACCCATCTACAAGTAAAGAAGGTCACGAAAAGGTAGATAACTCTGAAATGGACACGGTTCATTCATCTAGGGAAAATCCAATTATAGGAGCTCCATATGTCAATAAAGCCCTTAATACCTTTAAAAATGAAATTCTATTTAGATGGACTGATTTAACACAACCTCATGCAAGAACAGACACTTACTGTTTACATTTCCTTAGTAAGGAAATGGAACTAATAATTATAAGAACTTTCTAGGAAAGGTTTAAAAACAATGCATTTAAACTCCTCATTTCTAACACGTTACTCGAAGATGTTAAAGATCAAAACGAACAGAAAGAAATAATAGAAAGATATCGCACTACAAAGACATCACATCGAGGAATGACAGAAAACAAAAAATATTAAGCAAAAATATTATTGGCCAAGCCTGGAAAGAGACGTAATAAATTTCGTTAATACATGCGAAATATGCCAAAAAACGAAGTATGATAGACATCCTTATAAAATCGTTTACAAACTTATACCAATCGGAACTAAACCCTTAGAACATATTTATATGGATATATACTCGATATTCAGGGCAAAAATATCTTACAATAATAGATAACTTCTCTAAATTTGCAGCAGCATACCCAGTAATGAAACTTCCCTCGAAATATGTCATAGCTTAACTAAATTCTTCTCCAAGTAAAATTACTATGAATAACGCACAAGCTTTAAAAGTAACCTAGTACAAGACTTATGTAAAACGTATCGAATCGAGTTACATTTCACTACCCCGTATAATCCAAATTCAAACTCACCAGTCGAAAGCTTCCATTCATCCCTTACAGAAAATCTAGTCACTCTAAAAAATGAACATCGTACCAAAACGATCCAAGAGCGAATGGATATCGCAATATTAGTAAACATTCTTCCCATGAGTATACTCCTTTCCAAATTCTAAAAGGAAATCTAAACCATCAATGAAATTTTGAGAAAAACCTAAATCAATTGCAAACAGATTATGTGTATGAACTTGCGCAAATCTTTACGGAACTTAATGAAAAAATAAATTTAAAACTTAATGCAAAAAAGGCAAATGTTTTAGCAAAACTAAATCAAAAACGCGAAAATGACCTCGAAATACCCCAAGGTACTAATCAATTAATAAATACACCTCGGAAGTTTACACAAAAATTACAACCTAAATATAAACTAATTCAATTTAAAAATCAAAGACACCTAAAGATGTTAAAAGACATTTATAATTTTAGGTAAGAATGAAGATTGCCATTCTCCTGCTGCCGCTAATCGTATATACCCCATACCAATTAATAATAAAATATCCGTTATATACAATCCCTATCTTTTGAAATCGACAGACGATTTCTTTAACCTAAAGGAAAACTGCTATAAAATCACTCCAATAACCTGCTTAATAAAAACGAACCCTGTATTCCGCAAACAATTAATTTATCTAATCATTGTCCAATGATTCCTCAGCCTCAACTACCCAGTTAAATGTATTGTAGTTATCCCAAATTCCCAAGAAAATATATATTTTTATTGCCCAAATCAAAAGTGTTGAAATAATAAATAAAGCATCTTTAATTCTGCCCGCAGAGTGTAATGTTAAAATTAAAAATTAAAAAAAATGTCTCAAAAAGGAGACATAATTAATTTAAGACTAAAACCTCCGTCAATAGTTTTTAATGAAAAATTGTTTCATAATATCGAACCACTAAAGAGAAATTAATGTTGAAAATATAAAAGAAGATATGGAAAGTGCTCGAAACCTAGCAAATCACCGTCCTAAAACCCTTAACTTTTGTAAACTCTAGTGTTTCAATTACTGTAATACCTACTATTATAATTATACTAATAATCTATTTTATTATTACCTAAAAATAAAATAAAATTTAAAGGTGGGCATAGAACTAGAAACTATTCGAAAATGAACCCCGATTTTCTCAAACTTTAGGAGGTAGGAGTTATATGGCCACTTTTGATGAGTATGTAATAAGAAGATAGTAATATGACACATATGTTTATTCAGCTGCTTTAATAATATAAATACGCGCGCTAATCTTTGGATAAGACAGTCTTAAAGTCGCTTTGCAGTAGCAATTATTGTGTTACTTGTGTTTTAAATAAAAAATCAAATTTTTTCTTTGTTTAAGTTAATTTCTTGTAGATGGAAACTTTATTTAAAGACAGGAAGATTGGTAGGCATATAATCAAAATCTGGAAAATAATACGTTAGATTCTGGTAATTTCTTTCTTGCAGTTCACAATAGTTGTCTCGTCGATTTTCATTTGGCATCCGGTTTGCAAGGTTAGAAACTAACTCCCTTCTAACTTCTGATGCTCTTCTTGGTCTCTTGCTTTTAGGCAAAATCAGTAGCCATATGTTGGAATTATCCAGTCAGTTTATTATTGGTCTGCTAACAGTGACGTAGATTTCTTCGCAGGTAGTAGGTTTGGATGATTGCAGCAAGGAATCTTCGTTCTAAGTTCTTTAACATTTCCTTGCGGACATAGGTACACTGACGTCGTCATTTCTTTACAGGGACTTCTTCGATATATATAGTGTAATTGATTTATGATTAAATATTTATTACGCCATTTAGCAACCTTAAAGAGACTCTGATGTTTAAGAGGGGCAGAATACAAATGAAAATATTCAAATTCATTTTGATTTATTGTTGAAATATGCAATAGATAAGTTATCCTATTATTTAGAATAAAGCTATCGATAGTAATCAATTTTTCAAAATGTATTATGGTTTCCAAGCTAATAGGCAAGGGCATTTTATTTTTTCTCAATTGTTTAAGTTCACTAAAAAGGTCGTTTAACTTAATAAAACTAAGATGTAATATTCTTAATTTGGCAATCGGTATGGAATTTTCAATATCTTGCAATATAAAATCAATTATTTCGTAAACGTTGATCATTCCATTAACAATATTTTTAATAAGAAACATATTTTCCCGATAAGTTGTTTTTTGAACAATATCACTAACCTGATTTAATTTTCTTTCGATCAGTTTTTCATTTTGTTTTATTTGTTTAATAGTAGAGTTAAATTTGGCTATTATGTTTGTTGAGATTGAGTTTTGATTTCTAATATTCCTTTATAACTTATTTTGATTTAATTCAATTTCAAAATTTTTAAAATAGTCCGATGCTGCGGCATAATACTCCGGGTGTTTTAGTAATGAGTTTATGTTATTAGATCGCAACCTTAATTTATTAATTTCGATTAGTATCGCATTAAGGTCGTACTAATACATAAGGGTGTAGGAGTTTTCAGTCAATTTTGCCTGCCTTAGTTTAAATGGTTGTTCGTATTCATTATAAAATATATCGCAATATTCTTTAATTAAATTAAAAATTTTATGTTTTCCTTCGGAATTAAGATGATCAATGAAATCATTTTTTTCCAATTCTTTACAGTTAAATTTTTCTACAGTAACAAGTTGTGAAAAATATAATGTAATTCTGTAATTTCGCAGTTATGATACTCTTGAAGTGAAACAAGAATCTCACCGTTTTTTACTGACGTTTTAATTCTCACTTATTCGACTCGCGGAGAAATTGTTATGCAATTAAATTCGGAATGCATTTTTTGAAATTGTAATTTAATATTCGTGTAGGGTGTTTTTAAATATCCCTTGTTAAAGTCGAGATTTGCTTGTAAAAGTGTAAGATTGTCGAGACCTAAAAGACCGTCGAATATGTTATGAAATTTGAATAAATAAAATTTCAAAAGATGGGATCATTGCACTGTAATGATTTGCTGATTTTTGAAAGACAGTAGCTTCTATAAAAGGATCATTTATTATATAATGAAGATATAATTTTTGTGCAATATTGGGATCGATAAATGACCTAGTCGAGCCTGAATCAATTATTTTTTATATTATTTCTGATGATCGCTTGGATTTGACTTATTAAAATATATAATTTGAGGTGTTACGTCTTGTGATTGCTCATAATCAGGTTGCTGTTCGTCATATGTTTGTTCTTGTTCGTCGTAATTGGGTAAATAAAGACAATTTTCAGTGTCATAATCATAGGATCCATTATTTGCATAATAATGATCATAGGTAGCTGTATCCTGGTAATTTTGATTATCGCTAAATAAAATTTGGTTTTCTTGGTCCATGTTTTTCGGTTTCGGAGTTAAACTTGTTTTATCGTAAACTTTGGTGTATTGTAATTTTGTTTTGAAGTACTAGGTAAAGGTTTATATGTTGTTGACTCTATTCACGACATCGGTGTGGGTGGTGGAAAGTTTTTTTGTTGATTATTAGGTTTACCGAATACTTGAGATTTAGTAAAATATTTTGTTGTGGATTTCTATTAAAATTTGGAATTATATTGATGGATTCTGCGCATGTTAAAACTTGGTGGTCTAGGAAAGTCGTATGAAAATCATATGGGTTTTTTGCATTGACATTTTGTAGTCTGAGCATGTCGTGATTTGGCTGGAATGAATGCATTGGGAAATTTGTTTGAATCGATCTAAAACTGGGAATATCTCTATCAATCGGAATACTTTATTTGTATTGGTTTTGAAGATGATGAATGTTAAATTCATGGGTTAAAATTTGCAAAGACTTCGTTAGGTTATTTGGCCGCATACACCTGACTGTAGTGGCAAGAGGTTCTCTTGTGTCACAACAGTTATTTTTTTCCGGTTAATTCTATTGAAATGCAACAAATCGAGTACGTTTCATATATATATATATATATATATATATATATATATATATATATATATATATATATATATATATATATATATATATATATATATTCCCGAAAATCGTTCCGACTGCGCCAGTTAACTAACCAGACCGTGGTTGCCGATTTTTAAAAAAATAACTTTATTTTCGAATTACAAGTTTACAAGATTACAACAAAAATATTTTCAAATGACTGCCCGTTGCGCATCTTTCCCATCGTTATGTTGCGAGTCTTGCACACTCAGCAGGTTCTCAGGGTGTATGGTAACATAACTCGTGTAACTTTCCAAGGTAGAGCACACTTTTAACAACTTATCTAGTTTCTATGTTCTATTTTTTTAAAAAAAGGTTTATTAATTAAAAAAATAAACATTAAAAAATATTAACAGTAGGTAGTGTTTTTTTTATTAATAAGAATCGTTTATTATTTATCTTGTTGTTAGGATGTTATTTCATTAAAACTCCAAAAGTAAAAAGAACAGTCCTCTAATATTTGTTGTTTCTGAAGGACACGAGTTGGTAACTAAAATGTAGACATTTTTTAGGTAGATATTTTATTTTTCAAAACAAAAATCCCAAGTAACCAGTGCAGTCGCGATCTCATCAGCCTAAATTTTTGTTCATAGACAGTCAGTAGCACGTCACTGACTTCGTTAAAAAAAAACAATGAAATTTGCAATCATTTATGAGCTGATATCTCTTAATTTTTCTTAAGTCAGTCGCACGGTTTTTACTTAAAAGTAAAAACTAATTTTTCTGCATGCTGTCATATTAACGATATTGCTATTACCATGCGGAAAAGAGGTTTTTTATTTTTTAAAGCGAAAACCGTACATCGAGTTGAAAAAAACCTCAAGATATTAAATTTAAGGGGTACCGTCAATTTCTGCCAAAACAGACAGTGAAATTAATTACGCCCGCCACTGGTGTATTTTAAAAAAAGTGGTACACTAAATAATGCCTCTTGATACATAGTACATATGTGCCACATTTCCATCTGTAGTGGTATTACAGATATTACCGCCTTGTATCTAAAAAGTTAAGGCGTTTAGGACACATGTTCATATAAAGTTTTCTTTTTAAAATGAACCCCAAAATTGCCGCCCAAATTATTGACATTCAATTATAAAACACCCTATATATAGTACCTTGTTTGCTTATCGCCAGCAATTTAAAAAATGAACTACTCTTAAAACCAACAAGGAAACGGTTACAAAACATTGGAGATAAAGGCAAACGGCATTAACTACATAAGAACACAAGTGGACTACAGAGAAGGGGCTAATGGCTTTATCCCTTTGTGCTAGTAGCTGTTTAAGGTCATATGACAGCAGACTCTATTTTCTTTTTAAAATGTTAAAGCAATTTTTTATTTGTTTTGAAGATAATTTCGATTAATACAAATACACAGTACATTAAAAATAAGCAAAAAGAAAATACAAACAAATCAATTTCAGCCATCATTGAAATAGAGCACAAAAGTCATGGTATTTTTTTTGTTTTATCTTTTACTCCTGTATATTTTCGAAAAGGGCCCAATTTTTTATTGAAACTTACAGATTGTCTAAAATCATCTGTCTATCTCAGTTCCTATGTAAAATGGACAAACGATTATGACATACATAGACTTCGTTTTATTATCACGTGAATTGTGCAAACATAATGTTATTACGCCATTACTTTTCTTATCTTATGGCCCTTAAAGTTAAGTATTAAGTAGATTGAGGGTGTTAATCATCCATATGCCTCCTGTAAACAAAACAAAAGTTATTTATAGAACACATAACCTCCGTTTTTCCATACTTTATTAGCCTATGTTTTCAATAATACACCACAAGGATGTCCATTATTGTTCGTGAACCATATTTTTGTTTCCAAACCTCATAATTTAATCGCATTCCAATTCTCAATGCTCCATGATATTTCGTTTCTCATTGGGTGTTATTGAAAGTTCCATGGGCACGGTATCCCTTTTGGTTGTGCTTTTCTTGGTACGCATTGAAATGGTCATTATTCAGACCAGGGAATGGTTAACAATTTGTTTTCTGTGCTCAAATTGCTTTAATGAGCTTTCTTTCCCTGGTTCCGTGGTTATGGCGCAATGGTACCAGCAGAAATACCTCCTGAAATTCAAAGTTTCTTTCCGATAGTTTTCTGTGGTTTTTGCTGAGGATCAATGTCATGCTATTTCATCACTATTCCAATTGTCCTCCATTTTGGCGATTCAAGTGTCGTTAAAAGTATGGCTCGAGAATAAGAGGAGTTTTCTTTTCGTTTTACGATTCGCCGACCGTGAATTTTCTCATCGAAGTGGTTCATGTTCTTATTACATTAAATTCGTGACATGTTTGTGACTGGTCTAATAATATATTTTTTAGAGTTTACAAACTGTCTTCGCCATTTTGTTTTTATTTATTATCAATTGCCTGTTTTTGAACGAGGCATGTTGAATGATTGAGAAAATTATTTTTTATTCTGCGGAAAGTGGCTCAATTGATTTTCATCCTTTCCACATATTGAGATAAAAATTAACGCAAACGAATAAATAGAAGTCAATACTTGCAAAATTAATAGAATTTGCTATGGTTTTCTGGAAATTTGAACGTAAGGTTTTGCTAAAGTTTTATGCTGGTGAGATTTTCTTGTTTTTTACATTTTCGACGAAGAATGAGCTGCGAGTTAGTTTATAACAAACGTTTTATATATTCCGTAGCTTTTATTGTTACAATTTTTTAAAAATATCATCGGCACTTTGTGGCAAAAGTTGTTTAAATTCATTTGTGCTTTTAAAATATTATTATACAGTGTGTTCACATGCATGGGAATCTCAGAATCTCAGCTTAGATTAGTTTAGGAAAATTTTTTGTTCTTTGTAGCTTATTTACATGCCGTTTAGAAACAATTTTCTTGGCCTGCTGGGATATTTGGCAAAAACGAGAATTTGACGATGTCGATTTTTTTTCCGGACTTTATTTGAAGAGGTATAAAAAAAACTAATAACGCTTTCTCATTGCCACTTTTAAGGTACTATATGATGCTATTTTTAGATTTTATATCCTACGTTTTTGGCTTGTGAAGAAACCAT